GTATCCAGTGATTCCAAGTCAAAAGGATAGAAAAAAAGTGGAAAATATTAGTTTGGAGACTTGTGGCCAAGCTTCAGAGGAAACTAGAAGAAATTAGGATCTCGTCCAGTTCATAGTGAACTCTATTAGACTGTAATATCCACAATGGTGTGTTATTGAAACATAATGTTTCTTTCTATAATCACCTTCATTTTTACCAAGGACAGCCAAATTAAGACCAATTTGTTTGCAAAGTGTAATAGTTGCTTTTTTTTTTTTTTTTTTAACTTGGCCTGATGATGAAACTGCTGTAAAGCATAGCTTATGAGAAAAAGTTTCTTAGGATTTTTTACTAATTAACAGTCCCAAACATCTGTTTTCTTCATCCTGTTAATTCATCATGAATTTGTTGTCTCTTTGTCACAATGTATAAAAACTGCCTGCTTTGCTTAAAGACTCAGATATAAGTATCAGGCTGTTTTTCCAATGGGCTTTATTGGCTCCATAAAGTCTGCCTGAGTTCCTTCAAGCAGTCTGGTCATATCTGTGTCTGTGCAAGTCCCCGTTTGAATATGACATTTCTGTCAAAGCCTTGGTGATATAACCAGAGTTTCCAAATGTGTCCTGTTACAAGGAGAGCAGATCCTTATTCAACTTATGCAAATTAACATATTGTCATGAACATATGAGAATACTCACTGAAAGTTTTTGAATTCTGGACAGATCAGGTAGGGAGAAAAAGATAAGTGTCCCAGTCTGTTCACAAAGGCATGTTTTATCAAACGGCTGCTTTTTTCAAGTTATAGCCTAAAACAGTTTTTTTTAATACTGGAAAAAACATTTAAAGATCAGAAATGCTTCAAAAATATATATAAAAATGATAATCATCCTCTGTTCATCCAGTCTCATGTTATTAATTCTTCTCCTGCTTGAATCCAGATCTTCCATTCATTCTGGAAATTCTTACCCAGGTCAGCTTTATGATCTTGAGGTTATCAGAAATCTGTACACAAGAGTTCCTTCCATCGGTCTCATTGCAGATGAAACACATTTGCAGAAGCTTTCATAAAAGCATTTGAGTACAAGTCTAACTGTCTATAAATGATAAAAGACTTAAAATGTCCAAGGTTAAAGATCTGATGAGAGATCATGACAAGGCTGTTGACAAGGAAATTGGTGGTTTCTGTGACACACGACAGTAACATCTCAGGACGTATCAGATTTCTAGGAGTTGCATAC